CTTTTTAATAACAGTTATTTTGTGGATTAAGATTATGAATCTACAGTGGTAAGAAAGGAAAGGAACCTTAACCACAATGAGAAAATACCTGCACAGCGTCTCTCCAAGTTTATCGTTTGTGTCTTTTGGACTTATTATATCCAATTTTAGTGAAGATGCAAAAGCTTTTGAGTAACACTTAAAGCAGAAATCCAGTGCTGACCACAACTATGGAAATTATTTTCATATTAAATTCCCACGCAGACACGTACAGTAAGATCTCTCGTCCTCCTTCCAAATATGGATGTATATATACAGGTCACTGATGTACGTAGTTATGAAATTGGTGGTAAGTTTAATTCAATATCTTCTAGTCTAATAAAGAATGCTAGCAAATACACAAAGTAATAAAAGTTAGATTTTTGTCAATGTCAGGACGAGTTTAAGCAGTCTTCATCACCATCTTCACAAACTGTTATTTCTCCAGGGAACCTTCCATAGCAAGTGTTATTTCTTGACAAAAAATGGTAAAGCTCTACTATAAACAGCGACAGAAACCTTGTTAAACCCCCGCCTCAGCGATTCTGTATAGCAAGGTTATATGAAGCGACCCTGTTTCACATACGGACTTAACCGAAGTAAGCTAGGAAATCACAACAACCACGTTTTGTGCTTTTTTAGACTGTGGTGCAGATATCCCACAAAACTGTCATTTATTAGCTTTAAAATTTCATCACTTTGAAATTTAGGATTTCAAACTTGATGCGGTACGTTTACACAGAAATATCATCGACGACAACTCTGCCACACAWTTCCACTAGCAATACCAATTAATACCTGAATAAGTCGATTTGTAACGGGAGAAAATTGATCAAAATTGTTTAAGGAAACAAATCAGTTATTTATTGTTTAAATTGGCGATATTAGGAAGTTGGCAAAACATTGTGTCATGATATTTACCTAGCAGGTTAAGTCAGAGTTTTTCTAAAAGACGCCTGTTGCAAGTAATCTATAATTCACTATTTTAGTCACGATAATAGGGATCGCTGATCTCAGCGTTAACTACCTGGAAACAAGCGTTAAGCCAGGAATCGAAAGTGATGAAAAGTTCGGCTTGTACCAGTTGTACGCTACTTAACTTTCTAGTTACAGCCAATAATCTCCTGCGTATGTTACCTCATCTTATGACATTTTTGCTATTATCAAATTGATTGTTTTTTTGAGTTTTACGCGTAATAGTTCTAGCAATCAATTATGTAATATGACCTAGAAACAAAGGAGTTGTAATCACATAAATAGAGCTACAACACATTGAAAGATAGGAGACCACCTAGCGTGTGCTAGCTTGATGTTACAAGATTAAAGCAAGAAATAAACCAGAATTTACTCCGTGCTCTGTGTCCAAGTCTCGTGCCGTCTCGTAGGGTAAAAGTGCAGATTACGGGCCCTGCAATTCGAGTCGCTACTACCGAAGCTAGTCCGCCCGACGTTCGGTGAAACACGAACAAAATTCTTACCGTAACAGATTAACATCAACAGCAAAACAAGCTGAGTGTACTCAATGGATTATAACAGCACTATTCCATGTACTAGTATAGTAAAGTGTATAGCAGTTATGATCAATTGATAATGAACTCCATATCATTGCCCGAATTGAAGGAATTTCCTTGACTTAACAAACGTTAATGTACTGATTTTAAGCCTGGTCCCTAGCGTTATGTCWRTTCACCCCTCTCTTGGTTATCCCCAGCACTGGTTTATGTCATAAATACCTGCTCCTTTTTGTTCTTCAATTTTAACAAAATATTCAGACGACCACAATGGAATGAACGTGTTTGATTATTGCCGAAGAG